TAATTCAGTGTCCGACCATTTCTCCCTTATACCTCTAACATGTGAAAACATTTGAAATAAAACTCCAACGGTGATCATTTCATTCAACCAGTCATTTCATTCATTGCATTTCATTCACTGGCCGGTACTTCACCAGATTTCGTGGTCATACTCGAGTATACCAAACACTGTCTCAGGGTCACCAGCCGCAAGATCAAATCCGCTTCTGACTCGAGTGAACTGGTAACGAAGGGCAAGGATCTAATTCAGCCAAAGATTTACATTCATGCAGAAGTAACATTCAATCATTTGATCATTGAAAATCCACATTCACTTACGTTGAGTGCGATAAAGTACATACTCGCCCATTGAAAATCCATTTAACAATCATTGAAAAGCTTTTGGTCATTTGAAATACAATATGCAAAGAATACTCACCGATATCAGTAGATTAAACGTCAACTCTTTGGATGATAACCTTAATCTCTACCAAACCATGAGTCAAGATTCACAATTACAATAGATTTAAACTTAGTACATTCAAGTAGCCAAAACATACACGTCTAGTATTCCAAGGAATTCCATATGCTTCTCACTTTGAACTCGAGACTTTAAGATAAAATCCAACACAAGTATTCTAAAAGAGAGGAAAGCAATTTAAGCATCCAAAATCACACCAAATTAAGGTTTAAGACCTAAAAAAAAATTTTCAAAGTTTTTCAAGTCCCACTTAATTCATTTGACAAAATCCTTTTTGAAAGAGCATAACTTGAGTTCCGTATGTCAAAAAATCACAAACCTTACACCATTAGAAAATATGCTCGAAGCACTAACAGGTTTTAGAAGACATTTTCATGAAATTCAACTTATAGGTTAGTCAAATTTGAGTTCAAACTTACTGCTATCTCATGTGCAAAAGCAGAACAGTTATAGTTTTCAAGAAAATTTGTAGATTTGCTAGTATTTATAGAAGTTGAACCAAACCCTAAAATTTATACCGTTGAAAGACCTATGAGTCTAGTTTCAAACGCAATAAACGGAACTCAATTTTGACTTTTTTATACGAAGTTATAGCCAATTTCCCAAAGTTGCGCAGGGCTTCCTATGAAAATTTTTCAGCAAGCAATTAGTTTGGAAAACTAGGTTTTTCTCTTCTTAAACCTCTTTATTTTGGCTCAAAACTAACACATATGTAAAGAGATAGATTGTAACAAGTGTTTTGAGTAAAATCATATGCAAGAGGAAAATAAAATACCCAAAATTTACACCTCAACCCTCACTTGACCATTGAGGATGCTCACCTCGGCCACCCCGCATGTCCGAGGTGAACCCACCTCGTCCCTCATCAGAGTTCATCCGTGTCTTGAGCATAACCCCTGAGCTCGGCCGGATCCCTAATCTACCGTGTAGGTGACCTCGGCACCTCCACCTCAGCTGCATGCTGATGATCTCAAGCCACCTGACATCACCCGGGACCAGTGCTTTATCTGAAAAGCACTGGAGGCACTTAATGGCACCTGCACAATACTCTCCGTCATCATACCCAGAAGGCTACAGTGTCAGGGTCAGGCCTCCTGACAGGGGACAGAGCCGTAATGCCAGACAGTGGGTCCCACTAGCATGAGCCTTCCGTCCTGTCCTCTACTCTCCTATAAATACCCCACACACACTCCCAACAAGTAAGCATACTGTTCACTCACTCATACTCTTATTATTCTCGTTCTCATACTAACTTGATCGTCGGAGTGATCCCAGGGGAAAAGCCCCGCCTCCCACTTCGACCGTGCAACCTCACTTCATTCCACCCTAGGTGAGATAATCGAGTTCACCTCACCACATTAACAAGAGAGCTGATTTCGGTTGGACTAATTACCCGCCAAAAATCACCTCTTCAATTGGCGCCGTCTGTGGGAAAGAGATTACTACTAAAATGAGATCCACGCGCTCTAGAAGCGGAAGAGTTCCCTCAAACGGGGCTGGGCAGACCTCGGGAGCCCAGCAAGATTGCATTTCTGAAGAGCAAGGGTCCCAAAGGACCCAGCCCAACAACGAAGACGCCATCGCCAAGATGGCCTAGTTCGTCACGGACAACCCCAACATTTTTTAGGAGCTAGGAAGATATCTCAAGAGGCAAGGGAAAGAAAAAGCCGAGTCTTCCAAGAGGAGATCGACGAAATCCCCTGAAATACCTTCAGGTGAGGACTCCGAGGAGGGGCGTTTATCTCGGAGTACCTCCAGGCGCGCCTCCTCCAAGGCAACCTCCAAAATTGCCTCCATCTCCCGGGCGTTTTCCCTGGGACTAGTAGGAAAACGAGTCGAGGACCCACCTCGGCGCCCCGGGGGCCTAGCTTCTGACTACATGAGGGCTCCGCCCTTCACTGATGACATCAATGGGGAGATGGTGCCCCCGAACTTTAAGCTTCCAAACTTGCACACCTATGACGCCCGAGGTGACCCCGAGGATCACCTCCGCGCCTTCATCTCCGCATTCCGACTCTACTGCCTCCCTGACGCCGTGATCTGTCGGGTTTTTCCCATCTTCTTACATGAGATTGCCCGGAAGTGATTCTGGAGTTTAGAACCAAGGAGTATTTCCTCCCTGGATGAGCTGATAGACCGGTTCGTCCACCGCTTTGTGTCGTCCCGACCCATTACAAAGACTTCAGCTTACCTCCTGAATTTGCAACAGACTCCCGGCGAGTCACTGCGCTCATATGCGCAGAGGTTCAATGAGGAGAACATACAGATACCTGATCAAAATGAGCAAGTTACCATAGCCGCTTTCACCAACAGGCTGATTGCGGGAATCTTCAACACCGAAATACATCGAGACTACCCCCGCACACTTCGGAAACTTTGGGAACGAGTTGACCAAGGAATCCAAAGTGAGGACGTGAATCGCATGAAGCAGGAGGCCCAAGCAGCCCGTACCGGGCAAGAATCCCGGAGGAGAAAGGACACCGGCCGAACTGAACAAGGCCCCGGTAGCTCATCCAGCCAGTTCCGAGACCGCCGAAGCATCTTCGATCGGATCGTGAAGGGGAGGTCGTCCACTTCGGACACCGAGCTGACACCCCTCAATTCCAGCCGATCCCATATTTTGGCTGTGATTAGGCAGAATCACCTACGTCGAACTCCTCCTGAGATCCCAGGAAGAAGGGATAAGAGGAATTCCAACCTCTACTGTGCCTACCACCGAGATGTGGGGCACGAGACCGACGACTGTAACGACTTGAAGCAAGAAATTGAAAACCTGATCCGACAAGGATACTTGAAGCAATTCGTCCGTAAAGATGGGGGCTTTAACCGAAGCGCCTCCCACCGGGAGAGCCGAGGTCCTCGCCGAGAAGACAGGCGGGACACTAAACTTCAATGCCGAGGTCCCGAGGACCGAAAGGGGGATCAGAGGCCTCCACGCGACGGATCACCAGGCTATGACCCAAATATTGTCTGGGTGATCAACACTATCTCGGGTGGCCCCACGGGAGGAGACAGCCAGAACTCCCGAAAAAGGACCTACCGCCAAGCCGGTATGGAGGTGGCCGAGCAAAATTCTAGGCTGTCCGAGGATATAACCTATGGTCCCTGTGACCCTGTACCCGCCGCCTCCAATAATCACGAGACCCTAGTGATCGAGGTCCTTACTAATAATTATATAGTCAAAAAGGTCTATGTTGACCCCGGAAGCTCGGTAGACGTCCTGTACTACCGAACTTTCGAGAGTTTGAAGTTGACCCGGGAGCAACTCACTCCGGTCAGAACTCCCCTCATCGGCTTCGGGGGACACGTCGTACACCCGGAGGGTATGGTGACCTTGATGGTGGCTATCAGGCGCCATCCCCACTGCCGAACCGTGCCTGTCAGTTTTGCGGTGGTCAAAGCGGACTCTCCTTACAACATGCTGATAGGCCGACCCACGCTCAATGCCTTGAGAGTTGTGTACTCTACCTACCATCTGAGTTTCAAGTTTCCAACGCCAGAGGGGGTGGCCGAGGTGAGCAGCGACGTGAGCGCCGCCCGGGAATGCTACCTCGCCACCATCCAAGCAGCAGTCGCACCTCGGCCCTCGCCGAGGTCAGAAGAGAAGAGGCCGGCTGTTCTCTCCATAGACTGCATCGACCCTCAGAAGGCAGGAGAGCCCAGCAGACTTGAGCTCGGGGATGAGGTGGAACAAGTGGTCTTGGATGAGGCGAGACCTGATCAAGTGGTCCAAGTAGGGGCCGGACTCCCCTCGCCCCTAAAGGAAGAAATGATCTCCTTGATCAAGGACCACCGAAACGTCTTCGCGTGGTCCGCTGATGAAGTGGTCGGAGTGCCACCCGAGCTCACTAGCTCAACGTTAACCCACAGGCGCGACCTGTGCGGTAGAAACGAAGGCACTTCGGCCCCGAACGTAGCAAGGCCATATCGGATGAGGTCGACAAGCTCTTGCCGGCCAAGATGATCCAAGAGGTCCAATATCCCACCTGGCTGTCCAACCCAGTCATGGTCAAAAAGGATATCGGTGGTTGGAGAATGTGTGTGGACTTCACTGATCTCAACAAGGTCTGCCCCAAAGATTGCTACCCTCTGCCGAGAATAGACGCCCTTGTCGACTCGGTAATGGGACACGTGATCCTTTGCTTCCTGGATGCCTTCAAAGGGTGCCATCAAATAGGAATGAGTGAAGAGGATCAAGAGAAGACGGCGTTCTACACCGACCAAGGTGTTTATTGTTATACTACCATGCCGTTCGGCCTAAAGAACGCCGGAGCGACCTACCAAAGGCTGATCAACCGACTCTTCAAAAATCAGATCGACCGTAATATGGAGGCCTATGTGGACGACATTCTCGTCAAAAGCCTCACCACTTCAGCCTTTCTGTCGGACGTAAGGGAGGTCTTCGGTGTCCTACGGGACTCAAGGATGAAACTCAATCCCAAGAAGTGCGTCTCGGCGTCACCTCGGAAAAATTCCTGGGGTATCTGGTTTTTCACCGGGGAATAGAGGCCAACCCCGACAAGGTTAAGGCCATTCAGGACATGTCCCTACCTCGGAACATCCGAGAAGTCCAAAGGCTGAATGGACGCCTGACCGCGCTGAACCGCTTCCTGTCCCAATCAGCTGAGAAGGCTCTGCCCTTCTTTAAGGTGCTCAAGAAGGCTGATCAATTTGCCTGGACGGAAGAGTGCCAGTCTGCTTTCGACAAGTTGAAGCAATACCTCCATCACTTACCCACTCTCGCTTCACCTCGGCCCGAGGAGAAGCTCTACCTCTACCTCTCCGCAGCCGACGAGACTGTCAGCGCTGTGCTTATCCGAGATGAGGGCACTCAAGTGCCAGTCTACTATGTCAGCCGAGCTCTCCGCGGGCCAGAGACTCGGTACACCCAAGTGGAGAAACTCGTACTAGGACTGGTCCACGCAACCCGGCGGCTGAAGCCTTACTTCCTGGCTCATCCCATCTCCGTCAGGACCGACCAGCCCATCCGGCAGATATTGGTGCGTCCCGAGACTTCTGGTCGCCTCACCAAATGGGCTGTCGAATTGGGAGAGTATGACTTGTCATATGAGCCCCGCACTGCCATAAAAGCACAAGCCTTAGCCGACTTCCTCGCCGAGCTGACCTTCACGGAAGGTCCAGAGTCCACCTCCGCCAGTGCCGAGGTGTCCACCCCACCCCCATGGACATTGTATGTCGATGGATCCTCTAATGGAGATGGCTGCAGAGCCGGACTGCTCCTGGAAGGACCTCAGGGAGAGGTGTGCTCGTACGCCCTCCGCTTTGGCTTCCCGGCCACCAATAATGAAGTCGAGTACGAGACTCTGATCGCTGGATTCCAGCTAACCCGTAGACTCGGAGCCCAACAGATCCATGTCCGCAATGACTCCCAACTAGTAGTACGCCAGGTTCTTGGTGAATACAAAACCAAGAAAGAGACCATGCAACGGTATCTCTCCAAAGTTCATCAACTTACCGCGTACTTCGAGTCCTTCGAAATCCAAAGGATACCCCGGTCCCAGAATAAGCGGACCGACGCCTTATCCCGGCTGGCTTCCACATCATTCTCTGACCTCAACAAAACAGTCTTAGTGGAAGTCCTGAATGAATCGGGATACATGGAGGAGGTGGCCTACCCTGTGTACTCTGAAGATACTTGGATGACCCCGTTCATCCTCTTCTTGGGTCAGGGAACCCTTCCCGAAGACCGAGCCGAGGCGAGGAAGATACAACGCAAGGCTGCTCGGTATGCTCTCCGCGATGGAGAACTGTATAAGCGCTCCTACCTCGGCCCGTGGCTGAGGTGTGTCACCCCGAGGCAGGACGCCATGTCCTCCACGAGATCCACGAAGGCCTGTGTGGAGCTCACGTTGGCCACAGAATACTAGCCAAGAAGGCTTTGGTTCTCGAATATTTCTGGCCCTCTGTTCGGCAAGACGCCCATGATCTCGTTCTCGGCTGCCCTTCCTGCCAAGTCCACGCACCCGAACATCACCAGCCCGCAAGCTTCATGGTTCCCATCACTTCACCTTGACCGTTTGAGCAATGGGGGACAGACATCATAGGTCCTTTCCCCAGAGCCGTCGGGAGTTATACTTTTCTGGTAACCGCTGTGGATTATTTCACCAAGTGGGTTGAGGCCGAGCCTCTGAGGACCATCACCGGGCTGGCAATTCAAAAATTCTTTTAGAAATGCATCGTGTGCCGCTTCAGCATACCTCAGGTCATCATCTCGGATAATGGAAGGCAATTTGCCGAGAACCCCTTTAAAACTTGGTGCACAAACCTTGGCATCAAACAACATTTCACTTCGGTGGGCCACCTCCAGGCCAACGGTCAAGCAGAAAACTTCAACCGAACTCTCCTGCATGGTCTCAAGACCCGACTATACTGAGTTGGGTCATTTTGGGTGGAGGAACTCTCCAGTGTCCTGTGGTCGTATCGAACCACGCCGAGTTCAGCAACGCAAGAGACCCCCTTCTCCCTGACCTACGGCGCCGAGGCTGTCATCCAGGCTGAGATCCTTACCCACAACCCTCGGCTGGCAGCCTATGCCGCCGAGGTGAACGACGAAGAGAGACAGCTGGATCTCGACCTCGTCGAGAAACGAAGGGACCTCGCCTCAGCCCGGATAGCTTCCTACAAGAACACACTGGCACACTATTACAATGCCCGCGTCAGACACCGTAGATTCCAGCCTGGAGACTTGGTTCTCAGAAAAAACTCGATCAGCCGAGCTGAACCGCAAGGGAAATTGTGCCCGAAATGGGAATGCCCTTACCGAGTTGTGGAATCTGACCTTAAGGGATATTGTAAATTGAGCTACCGAGATGGTTCACCAGTGCCGAGGTCTTGGCACGCCGAGAACCTCAAAATGTATTATTCTTGAATTTTTAATCAAGTAATGACTTCGGATGTTATGTTATTTTTCAACATCGATATTACGCTATTCAAAAATAAGGGGGACAAGCAAGGGACGAAGTCAAGACAAGAAATTAAAGTGCCAAAATAAGAAGAAATAAACATTTCATTTAATGAAAGGACAACACAAAAAAGAATACAAGGCTGAGGTAGGGAGTGCTGCTAAGCATCTCCCACCTCGGAACCCTACCTAAATGACTACAAGCCGACCCCTGTCTCGGCTCTCTCCTCCGTCTCGGCTCCCTCCGGGACAGCCTTCTCTCCGGTCTCTTCCCCGCCGGGGTGAAGATCTCCTCCTCCCTGCTGTTCGCCGACGTCTCCCCCAGCTCCTACTCCATCGCCCACCTCGAATACCTCGTCGAGTTCGGACAGTCACTTGTTGAATTCGTCCCGGACTTCGGACAAGTTCCTTCCAGCTTGGAGGCCCTCGGCCATCCGATCGCACAATTCCTTGGAGTCCTCATTGTAGTTGGCATTGTCTTTCAGAGACTCCAAGGCTTCAGAGGAGAGGTGAGCTGCGGCCTCCTCCACGACTGACGTGAAGCCGAACATGAAGCTCGGCGCGAGTAGTTGGCCGAGATCCCGGGTGAAGTCCTCGGACCTCCGAAATGCGTTCACAGCCGAGGCCCCAGCACTCTCGAGGTCTTGTTCGTGGGACTTCTTCGCCTCGTCCCCCCTCTTCTGCTCTTCTTCGAGAGCCGATTTGAGGCTGTTGATTGTAGCCACGACCTCCTCATCCTTCGTCTCGGCCTCTTTAAGCTGTCCTTAAAGCTCGGTCTTCTCAAACTCTGACACGGCCAGTTTTTTTTTCAACTTGGAGATCTGATTTTGTAACTTGCCGGAGTCCTGCTCCTCGACCAGAGCACAGTATCGGTGTGTCATCTCGCCCACAAAGGTTGAGTTGGAGGCTGTGGTCACCATGAGGCTTTGAACCACTTCGGCCGGAGTCAGTTTCTTCATATACTCCAAGTCCCTTGGCAAGGTGGACTGCATCACCAGCTCTTGTGCAACCCAAGGATGGCTGCACCTGTCGTTGACCGTAAGTGTCCAGTTCGGACACCAATGCTCGCCGGGGTGCGTTTTCTCCTTCCCAGAAAACACCGGGGGGCTATGGAAACGGTTCCATAGTGAGGTCCCCGAGACCGGATTGATTGGGTGCTTCAGCTGCTTACCTCGGCCATAAGGAGGCGGGAGTGCCCTGACAATTTCAAGAGGCACTCCCTTTGACACAGGAGAGGTAGACCCAGTAGCCGCGGCGGCCGAGCTGCTTTGGGCTGCCGTGGCGGGAGTGCTCTTGGCCGCCGAAATCTTGGCGGCCTGCCCTTGTGACTTCTTCTTCGGCGGAGGGGCCGACGTCTCATCGGAGCTCTTCCTCTTCGACCTTTTGGCCACCTCGGCCGAACCCGATGTGACGATATCGGACAATTTGACCACTGCACAAGAAACAAACATTATTATTTGCCACAGCCGAAATGAAAGAAAAGCCATGAAAGAAAAATTACAAGGTTTTTTAAGTTTAGTGGAAGTGAAGGGAGCCTTGTCAGGACTGAGCAAAACTCGGCTAATCCCCCCGTCAACCAGCACGGCTTCGGGGTAGTCCAAACTGTATATCCGAAGTCCTGACCCCATTAGCTTCTGGAAGGCCTCCTCCTCGGCATCCCCTGCGGAGGGGTCGGCTTTCGCTTTAATTGGCCTTCACCAAAAACCCCTGGGGAAGTCCACTCCGGATACAAAGAAGAAGTCGCGCTTCCAATTCTTGATCGAACTGGGAGCACTAATCACGAACTTCGGGATGGCATTGTTCCGGTTGCAGATATAAAATCATCCCTTGTCCGTCCCATGCGCCTTGAGAGTGTAGCATCGGCGGAAGAGATCAACAGAGGGAGTCACCTCCTGATGTCGACACAACATCTCGAAGCCTACGAGGATGCGGACGGCGTTTGGAGTGAGTTGAGTCATCCTCACGCGGAAGTGACGAAGTACGTCTCTCAAGAATCTCGACGTCGGCATCCTCAGCCCGGCCTCCAACTGTTGGACGTAGATGGCCACCATGCCCATGGGGGGCTTCTCGGCTGAGTCATCTGGCCCGGGCGGTGTGATGATATACCCCGGCTGGAAAGGGTACTTGTTTAACACCTTTTCGGCCCTATCTCTTCCTATGCGACTTCTAAACTTCGGCATCTTGCCGAAGTCGATGTTGGTCGCGTCTCTCGGAGCGACTGGCTCCGGTATGCCCTCGTCATGGGGTATCTCGGTCCCGAGCTCGGTATCGTAGACGACCTCGGAACCACCCTCGCTCATCTCGGATGACTCCAATTCCGAGCCTGCCTCGCCGGCTCTCACCTCGGCTGATCCTTCCTCAGAACTCGGCGTCGACCCCTCAGAGCTGGACGTCGTCACTTCTTCAGGATCCGGCCTCATCTCGGTCTGGTAGGTCGGTGTCACGATTTCTTTATGGGTCTTAGCTATTTTGGCCATGTGTGTAAGACGAGATGGAAAGAAAATTACTTACTGTTGACTACGGTATCGAACGAAGATGATGAGTTCGGCTGGGATCTCGGCTGGCAGGATTGATCTCGGCAACATTCGTAAATTTTGCAAGTCGCAGGCAAAGAAAGAAAGTGATGGGCCATACGGTGAAAAAGACCCCCTATTTATAAGGGTTTGGGGGGAATCCGAAGAGGCGGCAAGAATGAGAAAAGACGGCCACGTTCGAATTCAAAACGCCGTGCCTCCCTCTCTCCTCATTAATGCCCCGTCCTTTCGACTGACACCCTCTACACGAAACGTCCCACTACTTCACGACGCGACGGTTACCAGTGACCACGTCCTGTCAACTGACTCGCCCATGTGTCACGTCCCCGCATCTTCCGGAGCAGTTTCGGGACCCCGACTCTTTACGACTTCGGCACAAGGAAGCCTCGGTACCTCCCTGGCCCGGAGCTCCAGAGGCTTGGGGGGCTTATTGAGGATGGTCACCTCGGCCACCCCGCATGTCCGAGGTGAACCCACCTCGTCCCTCATCAGAGCTCATCCGTGTCTTGAGTATAACCCCTGAGTTCGGCCGGATCCCTAGTCTACCGTGTAGGTGACATCGGCACCTCCACCTCAGCTGCACGCTGATGATGTCAAGCCACCTGACATCACCCGGGACCAGTGCTTTATCTGAAAAGCACTGGAGGCATTTAATGGCACCTGCACAATACTCTCCGTCATCATACCCAGAAGGCTACAGTGTCAGGGTCAGGCCTCCTGACAGGGGACAGAGCCGTAATGCCAGACAGTGGGTCCCACTAGCATGAGCCTTCCGTCCTGTCCTCTACTCTCCTATAAATACCCCACACACACTCCCAACAAGTAAGCATACTGTTCACTCACTCATACTCTTATTATTCTCGTTCTCATACTAACTTGATCGTCGGAGTGATCCCAGGGGAAAAGCCCCGCCTCCCACTTCGACCGTGCAACCTCACTTCATTCCACCCTAGGTGAGATAATCGAGTTCACCTCACCACATTAACCAGAGAGCTGATTTCGGTTGGACTAATTACCCGCCAAAAATCACCTCTTCAACCAACAAGGAGAAAATCCAACATTATGTCTCCATATCTCTTTAAATTAATCATCCAATTCAAATCTTAATTTCATAGTAAATGAATCCCAATCAAGAACACATATTGTAGGGGACAAATGGTGCATACACTAAGTTACAAAACTATTAATTTTAAACATATATATCAAGCTCCAAGTCACTTACACCAAAGCTGAAATTTTCATCTCAAAGTTGGAAATTAGCCACTAAAGCTGAAAAATCACACATAGGAGCTAGAAAACCTCATCTCAAGGCTAAAAAGTTTATCCAACCTCATATCAAAGCTAAACCATTCATATCAAGGCTGTCCAATAATTTCAAAACTGAAAATTACAACCTACTAAGCAAATCATGAAATCTTCCATAAAATTCATCACAATCAAGTCATATATTACTTAAATAGCAAAATAAGAAGGAAAAAGAGAGGTTCTTAGTATAATACCTCAAAACCCCAAGATAAGTTGCAAAACAAGAGTTTTCTTCCTCAAATAACTCCACCAAAAGCTTCCCTCCAAGCTTAACTCAAGATTACTTGGTATGGATTAGGGTTGGTGTTTGGATTTCTCATGGATTGAACAAGAAATCAAGGCTAGAAGTTGGTTTCTTTTCTCTCCCTTTCTCCTCTCTAATTTCGGCCAATGCAAGGAAAAGATGAAGGGATTTTGGTGTTAATTTGAAAGATAAATACAAGTTTTCTCTTAGTCAAAGTCTTAGTCAAGACTTGATGGATGATCGACAAGTGGCGAAGCAAGAGTAACACCTATCTCTTTGTCTCTTGTTTGTCTCTAATCTCCAAGATAACTCGGGTTTCTCTAGTACACTTTTAATACTTCTAATCCCATAATTCCTCTAGTACCACACTCGTTCTCGTCTACCAAATTTTAACGCGCACATCTCACTAGTCGGTCAAACTACCTTTATGCTCTACAAAACTTAACATGCACTAAAATATAAAAGGAGAATGATAAAATCTTGACTCAACAAATAAAATCACCATGAAATTAAAGCAAGCAAATAATCAAGTAAAGTAAAATTAAAAGGAAATATAAATTAATTTTTCAAAAATAGGAGAAAATTTAAAATAATTTTTGGGTTCTTACACTCTTTCCCCCTTAAGAAAATTTCGTCCTTGAAATTTTTACCTTCTATTGCCTCAGATGACTCTGGAGCTGTTACTTGTCTATGGCGTATACCCGCGCTGACACTCTTGGTCTGTTTCCTCTTTTATTAGCTTGTCTAGGGGTAGTTTTATTCACTTGTTGAGCATTATTTCCTCGTTGCTGGTTTCTCGGACAGTTGCTAATTTGATGGTTGGTACTCCTACAAATCAAGCACTTTCGCCCCTTCACCCAGCATTCATCCTCAGTGTGATTTGT